GTCCTTCGACCGCTTCTTGTATTGCAAGCTTTGGATTGAGTTGAAGAAACCAAGATCCAGAACATTGAGATCAGGACTGTTTGGTGGTTGAGTCTTAACCTGAATATTCCAGCCTGCACTTCTTGCTGCCGCCGTGACATCACTTCTGATACTAGGCTTGTGTGGTTTAGCATTGTCTTCCTGGATGATAATATCAGGGCGAGTTGCTGTTCTCGGCCACTTTTCGTAGATTGCCGGCAAAACCTTGTCGAGGAGCATCTGCTTGTACACGTCTCCATTCACGTTCATAGGCTTTGTCACCAGAGTACCTGCAGGGCAGTTGATAGATCTTTGCTGAGCAGGTTTCTTCTCAACAAATGGCCAAATGCCAATCTTCCCATCAAACCAAGCACACCTGTTTGTATCCCAACGTGGGCGGGCGGTGGCACAGAGAAACATAACCTTCGTCATATGGTTCTTTGACTTGGAAGTTGACTTTGGTTCATCTTCATCAGCCAGCAGGTAAGTTGTTTGCGTTGTCCTCTTCAAATAGAACCACTTCTCATCGATATGGATCCAGTTAAAGAAGTCATTGAATCTTCGTTTCTCATCAATGTGGCTCATAATCCATTCAACACGCTGAATTTTATTCTTGTCGGTTAGCAGAGGCTTTGCACTTCCTTTGTGCTTCTTAATGTTACCACGCTTGACCATGCGGTGCAAAGAAGTCTTTGGAATGCCAGTTGCAGCCAAAAGACTTCTTAAATCACCTTGATCTTTGTGCAGAACATTCCTTAGAATCTCTAGTTTGTCAAGATGCCTTGACTTGCGACCTGAGTTACCGCGTTTCCTGTTTGTAACATCACCAGCGGGACAACTAACTGGATCCACCGTTTTCTTGTACCGACTCCAAACCCTTGCAATCGTCCTTGGTGAGACACTGTATGTTTCCGCGGATTCCTTCAAAGCTCCCTTTGCAAGATAAAGGGCTCCATTAGAGCTGCTTCTTTTGTGTCGCAAAAGATCTTGAACAATGGCTAGTCTCTGGTTATTGGTCAAGTTCCTGCTCTGCTTCCTCGGAGGGGTCGTGGATGTGTCAGTACCACTAGACTCATCAGTGCTGGTGCTTGCCGTATTGCTTGCCGTATCAGTATCGCTTGCAGTATTGCTTGCAGTATCGCTTGCAGTATCGCTCGCCGCATCGCTTGCCGCATCGCTTGCCGTATCGCTTGCCTCAAGGAGCTCCATTGCATCCGTTATACCAACCATCTTCTTGCTGATTGTTGATTTGCTTTAGAAAGGACCAAGGGGGGGAAAAGTGAGTTAAAACAAGCAGCGGCAAATCAAGAGGAGGAAGGCACAAAGAGCAGGTTGATTGTTGCAAGTCAATGGATCCCCTCTCAGTGGAACAATGGAGGCGTGATTCCCTCTTAGTGGAAGCAACGGAAGCATTGGAGACGTGATCCCTGGGAGGTGTGAGTGAATCAAGAGTGAAAATTATCACGTGAAAATAACACGGGGAGCATTTTTGGACCATGCGCACATCATTTTTTTTCTCTTCAATTCCTCTCTCCAGCTCAAAATTCAAAAAAACACATGAAAACTGCATGCGCCCAAATAAGTGCCCGAGCAATATTTGGCTCCTTTAGTGACCCACTATGCCTGCATAAGAACCTTCTCAATAAGCACGATAAGCATATAATAATAAAGCTCTCACTCTCAGCTTTCTATAGCCACCAGTCCCGTAGTTAAATGACTGGTAGAACCCTTTCAACCCGTAAATTGAAAATCATATGCTAAAACTGGGTCCCTTTAAGCAACTATTGCAACTGCGTCAGACACATTGACTATATAAAATATTCATGACTGTATACATCTATAACAAATCTGTTAGGCACAAAAAGAACCATTCGAATCGCCCAAATATTGAGCTTATTTCAATAGAATAGGTGCAAACTGGACACTCATTGTGGACCAGAGGAAGTACTAGTTAAAATCTTAAATTGCTGTCCGTAAGATATCATATCGTGGGTATGATTCATATCTATGATACATACATATGAAACATATCTGCTATTCACACATGCTCTGTATTCACAACTCTCCTCATTTGATCCTACTATGGATCTCCATGATTGACTTGATTCATTTGATTCACACACATCACTGGATCCTCACTTTGATCGATTTTAGATTTCATAGTTCGTCAATCCTCAATAAGAGCATTGACTCCTCACTTTTCTTCTAGCACTAAAATAACATCACTAGCTATTAGATAGTCACAAAACACTCTTCCAATAAAAACCATCATGGCCATGACAATTTTTTAGGTGTGCTCTCTCCTCACACGACTCTACCACATATTTCTTGACACCAAGAACCTTAATGTGAACTAGAAGAGGAAGCACTATGTTGGCCAGAACCAAAACTTCTGGGGAGAATAGTACTGCTCCTATTACTAGTAGTAGTATCTGCTTCAAGTGGCAGCACCTCCCTTTGAAGACATGTGATGGAGACATGACTGAGTAAGTGGGTGGGCTGCTGGTGGTTGGGGGGTTCTTGTAGGTGGTGAAGAACTGTGTCTGAGTGGTTTGTAGTGTTGGGTTTTTAACAGCAGTGACTACTAGAGAGGTTGCTGACTTAGAAGTCTCTAGCAAAGTCAGCAGTTTATGTTGTCTCTTCTTGGAGTATTTGTCAAAGACCAACCTGTCTTATGCACAAGGCAAAAATGGAAAATACTGGGTAATAGGGTGTGTGTTGTTGGAGATACATTTGAGAGAGGCTGTGCAGATACTTGCATGAATTGTTTAGTACTCATACACTTGGAGGTGATATGACAGCAAAGTGTTGGTAGCTTGAGATAATAATGCTTTAGGATCCTTTGGGAATAAGTGAGCATGGGAGGAACATGTCTGTGTTTGCAGGATGAACAAGTTGCAGACTTTTGTTGTCAACCATCTTCATTGCAGTGCTTGTTTCTAGGAAAGGGTGTGCCTGTGAAGGTCTTTATTTTTAATTTTCAATAGAGTTGTTTGTGTTGTTCCCTCTTTTGGAGTATCTGTCAATGATCAGCAATTGTTTTATTGCACTTTGGTGGCTGTTTACTGCTGTTTGTCAATGGAGAGAAGTACTAGGTGATTGGATTTAAATTTTCAATGGAAGTTGTACTAGCAGCATTACAGATGCTCTCCTAGATTTATATTCTCATCAACTCTGATATAGTAGGTCAAATAATTGTTTGTGATATTCCACATGAAGCTTCAGGGCTAGAAGGAAATATAAGGGTTTGGAAGCTGGGTCTGGGATTGGAGAGAAAATAAGTGCCTGGCTAACTTTGTTAACCATACACAGTGCAGCAATTCCTGCTACTGGGAAGCATTATGGCCATGGAGATCTTTATTGTTCCATTGCAAGAATGACCTTTATAAAATTAGTTGGCCAGGTCAGAGGAGCCAGTTCTCCATTACGACTAGTAACACCAGCTGGTATGGCCAAAATTTGCTATTTTCAGAGACCGCCAGCTGTGTTACAAGAAAATAGGTCAGAACTTTATTCAAAAACAAGAACTCTTGACCACAAGACCAATCACCCAGTTCAAGTTGATACAATTACTTGACCCTACCTAAAGGTTGTTAGTGTCTATTGTTGTTGGGAAGCCAAAAGAGGAGGATGCTCTACTGGTACTAGTACTAGTAGTAGTAGTAACTTCAGGCGTAGTAGTAGTACTGGTGTGGCATGATGGAACTAGTACTAGTATGGCAAAGTTGCGTTATTGGATGGCCAATTTTTGCATTAATTTGGATGTAATTATAGATATTTCTCTGGCAGAAGTACTAGATTTTGTCAGTGAAAAAGAAGCACTCAAATTGCCCAAAACATTCATTTTTGTTTCACCACCAGGAAAGCTCAGATTAGACACTTTTTATGAGACGGTGGAAGAATATCATCGTGCCTTGCACATCCATATTACCGTACCGTAGCATATTTTTTTAATGACCCAGCAACGCAGTTCATCATCCGTCAGTTTTCTACGAGGGTCATAAAAAGAATTATGACAAAAATATCATCGCAAAGCACTGCTGTGCTGCTGTCGCTCCCAAAAATTTCTCACTTCAACAGGAGGGGTCATAATTTAGAGGGGTGTGCATTGAATTTTTTTGCGCATCACAAAGCACAAAAAAAAGGGAAACTCATATTTCACGTGTGGTCCAAATTTCCAAAAAGTCACCAAAGGTACAGTTACTACTACTACTGTCTGGTACTGTTACAACTGTTACTGTTACAACTACTGTTACAACTTCTGTTACAACTACTGTTACAACTACTGTTACTACAACAGTTACAACTGGTACTTAGGTGAAACTGATCATACTAGTAGTACTAGTACTATTGAAATTTTGTTCATAGTAGTAGTACTACTACTAGTACTAGTAGTACTACTACTATGGAAATTATGTTCATTTTTCAATACTAGTAAAATACTACAACAAATATCAATTTAATATCCAAGAAAATGGTATATTCAGAATCAGCATAAAAAACTGGACTAGACTGGCTACTCAAAAATTAAAATAGTWGTATTTTTGATAAAGCTGTAACTGCTTGAAGGTTGGATAGTTTTACTAGTATTATGCAGTAAAAATGAGAATGAAAAAAATTCCTTCGGTGACTTTTTGGAAATTTGGACCACACGTAGAATGCTACGCGGTTCGTAACAATTGAAACCGGTCTCGAAAAAGAGCAAGAAAACTTGAAATTCTTACTTTTTGCTCTTTTTCGAGACCGGTTTCAATTGTTACGAAACGTGTAGTATGGAGGACTCCTAATGTCAAGCGCAATAAAGTCAAGTACTTGGCAATTCCCCGGGTGTCAATTTTTTTTATTTTCCCGTCTTTATTTCTCCTCTCCCCCTCCTCCACGAAAAAAAACGAAAATATTTCTATTCCTGGTACTTACTACCGAGAATATCAAATCAGTGCTTATCTCAAGTATTAAGGACCACTAATAGAAATATTTTGGGACTAGCAAGAAATTAAACAATGGAAATATTTTTATTTTCGTCCATTGGATGCCTTTTTTTAACTGTAAAAATGAGCTAAAAATTTCTATTAGTATTTGTACGGGGATTGCCAAGTACTTGACTTTAGTGCGCTTGACATTAGGAGTCCTCGTAGTATGAGTTTTCGATTCGTTGCAAACCCCTCCTAAATTTATGACCCCTGATTTTTTTCAGTACGTACTGCATCTCATCGTCAACAAGTGGGTTGAAAGGCACAAACCGGAAGATCCGAGAAGATTGGCTCCAACGAAAATTAGTTCTGTATTTGGAACGCATTCCGCTATCCTACTCGCACGGTACAACTTTAACCGAAAAACCCAAAAATCATTGAAGCGTATCGAAATCATGGGGCAATATGACATGGAGCAAGTCGGAATAACATACAAAGTTGCTTGGCAAAAGAATGATGAAATCATGATGAAAGATGCCTGTAAAATTTGGAAGGAAATGGGTCTCATAAAAGAAGAAGGAATGGGAATGCCGAGGGCGAAGCTCCTCTCCGTCGTTGCATACGAGGGTGACAAGATGGTGGGCTTGTCAACTCTCACTGTCGCCATGCAGCAACAGGTATTCGCGAAGGCGTGCCACTTTCGATGCGTGGTCCGTCCCGAATACAGACGACGCCATATCGCAACCGAGATGGCCATTCGTAGTCTTGCGTTATCGGAGGAATGGTCAGAACAAAATCCAAGCTACAAGGTTTTGGCGTTTGTCATACGCGTTGAAACCCAAGATTTAACAATGAAATGCTACGAGCCAGTTTGGAACAATAAGATGAACTTCATTGGCTATTCAGCAGAAGGTTTACCATTGTACCTTCGGTGGTTCAAACATGCAACTTTTGGCAATCCCAACGAAGATCCTGATTTTACGTTTTATCCGAATCGTCCCGGTCGAATCTAACGGCGTAGTATTTGAGGATCGCATTGGCTTCATGCCGAGAAGAAACCGAATGGAATGATATGTTCAAGATTTTCGTGAGTTGGCAGGAACAGAAGCTGCACGACGTTTGTCCATTAAGGTACTCTTAACTTGTATTCAAATTTGATGCAGCAGGTCTTCCTGTTCTCACTTGATCATTTGAACGAAGCGCGTGTGCATTTAACTACGCTTGAAGGCATCAAATGTATTTGGCACCAATGATAACCTGAATAGTCTTCCAGAACTTTCGTAACTTGACTCCCAGTAATCTCTTGGTCGTGAAGGACTCAGCTCGAAGGTCAGCAGTAGAACAATGTTCGATAGTCACCTCTCATTTCTTCACTTGGTCCTTGATAAAGAAAAATAGAAAATTTTGTGCTTTGTAGGCGTGGTGCATGCCGTTCCGTTGTTTTTCAGTTTCATAGCGTCATCATGGTCCTGTTATTTATTTCGTCCCGAAGGATCTTCATTGGCTCATTAGCAATGCTGTCCGGCATGTGCTTGGCATTAGAAAATACCTAGTTCAAATGATTCAGATTATCACAATGTGGAACACTCCCCCTTTTTCTTCTTCTGTCAACTTCTTTGTATTCCAGCTCAGTGACAAGAAATATATGAGAAAAAAGATTGCATGTGTTTGCTTGTTTTCAGACCATTCCATTCATCATATTTGTTTTGTGTGTATGGTACAATGGGAAACAGCAAAGAACTCACTGGCTATTCAATCTCCATCATCCTGTTATTGTTGTCTGCTTCAACTGCAGAGATATCATCTGTTTGGTCATCCCCATTGCTGTCCATCTCCATGGTTTCAAGTAAGATTGTCAGTGATTAAGCATGTATCAAACACAATCATATTGCCATGGCCTATTTTTGTAGTTTCACTTTGTAAACTCATTGACTGGTAATCACCCATGCAATTGTTGGTGCAAACATGCTACTATTCAAAAGTTTTGCTAATATTCTTTTGAACAGGGGAAAGCCAGAATGTACTGGTTGAGTCCTACTAGTAGGGACACAGCCTCTACTAGCTGGGATTATTGTTTCAAGCACTTCTTCTTGCTAGGAGTGCCAATCATGAACTTGGCTGGAATTCCTCTTGAACAAGCAATCCACTTAGTAATATATCATATTTGGTAGGAGAACAATATTTCAAGACTTCATTGAGAGTCCTACTAGTTTCCTTATTACTGGTATCTTTGACAGTGGTCATACTTTGCTTCAACAAGAATCTATGATTAATTGTCCATTTTAATCTTGATACTCATAATTTTGCATTGAGCTCATATTTTACAAACATTGGGAAAATTAATTCTCTAATGATGGCCTCTCTGATACTTACTAATGATTTGTTCATACTGTATTGCTGACCAAATACAAGCCATACACGCTTCTACACCTTTGGAGTGAGTGGATAACTCCCTAACAGTTCCCACCCTGTACTACATATGACAAGTGATCTTCTTCGATGATTGGTTAGATCAGGTAGTTACTGACTAGTATTGATGTTAATGTAATTGGTGAGTGAAAAGTTAAGTGGTTGATTATTTATTATTAGTGAGTGAAAAGTTTAATTGGTTGATTATTTGTTTTTATTATGAGCTCCAGGAATGAATATATTTTGCTTTGCTCATACTACTACATCATTGATTGTGCAGTCCCAAAATATGAAAATAAGATTGGTCTTCATTTCAGGAAAATATCTTTCTCTTGTGGACCTAAGTAGCTGCTGATTACTCTCCTTTGCAATGAGAGTTCAGATCAATTTTTGAAAGATATTTGACATCAAGGTGGCAGTTGTTTTTAGAGATTGGTGACATTGCTCTGCATCTCCTTTTGTTTTCTTATTACTGATCAACGCCTACACTACTAGTAGTCGCATCATAGTAGGTACAATATATTCATTGTCCAATTGGTAGTTTTTCCTCCATCAGATGTTTGCTTATCCATGAGGCTATCTTTTCAAGTTTTTTTGTTGTTGCTATCCTCATGAATCCATTTATATGAAGGGGTAATACTAGGCCTGTCCAGTGCAAACAACAACAAGAAGTTTGTCTGGCAATATTTACTGTTTACTGATAGTTGGATCTAGTACTACTACCATATAAATTGATCATGTGATGGATCATCATGCTCTTTTTATATTCTTCTTCTACTACTCCATACTAGAGCAGCAGCAGTTTAGAACATGTCAGGTGTAACACTGCTACAACACCAAAGAATATGAGGTTTTGATTTTTGACAAAAGGATGACAGGGAAACAGACAATGACAGCATTCGCACAAACCATTTTAAGTGCACTATCTTCTTGTTACTACTTGAATTTTCATCCCAGCAGCAGTTTTTACTAGTACATGCTGTTGATGCCAATGTTAAGAGGAGCATCCTTTGTTGGTAAATTAATTTAAGATTATGCTACCACCACTGCCAGTATTGTTGTTGTACTACCCCAAGTTTCATATTAACATGGTTACAATCTTTTTGCATTCTTGTTGTATCACTTCAAGAAGCTTGATAACAATAACAACATAAAGGTGGTAGGCTAATGATGGTTTGTTGAAGTTCTTGACTTTTCAAGGGAGACCCAACTGCAGTATATGTTTGAATCACACATGAGATTGGATTCATAAGATTGGATCCATACAACTCATATGATTATGACTGATTGGAACAAGTTATGTTTTAGCATACATACGTACCTATACTGTTGGTTACAGGCCATTTAAATTGGTCCTGTATGATTGTAAAGAAGCTCTTAATGACCCTTTGACACAGCACACACAGCAGTTAGCAATATATTGCTAAGACACTGTGTTGAGTAGTATACAGGGGAAGCTTCTAGCAGTGAGTGAAAACACACACACTTCTTTTTACCTTAATCTGAAACACCCTTATTACGCCCAAACATCACCAGCTGCTTTAACACAGCAGTATGGTGTAATGACGTTAATTCATACTATCTGCTAACAACTCCCTTAGTACTAGTAGAGTATAGTACTGTACTGTTGAAATGCTATTGATAGATACTACACTAGTAACTGCTCATTATGCTACACTCAATTTATTTGTCATAAAACCATGTAAGAAGACACTTTGTTAGTAATTGACATGATAATGACCAAGGTTTGCAGCCCAAATTTATATTTTCATGCGAGGAGTTCAATGAACCAAATCATTCAGAGAACTTCAAGTTGAAGAAGTTCTCAACTTCAAATTTATCCAAACAATTACACAAATGGAGATCCAACTCAGAATATCATAGCAGATGGTGCTAGTATGATGATACTACTACTATTAGTAGTAGGAGAAAGAAAATATTGTTCTACTCTTTCATTTTGTGCCCCTTGGACTTTGTTGCCACTCCTGTACCATGAGGATACTAGCATTGCACAGTTCAACTGCTGCACTAAACCTCCTGTGTACAATGGCAACATTTTTTACTTCCACATCATGTTTTTTGGATCAATTGAAGAAGTCAATGACTCAAGTTCTTGTTGCCCTTCTGTATCTCTTCATGGAGCAGGTTCAAGTAGTAGTTGAAGTATTACTACTATTACCAGTACTATTACTAGTATTACTACAGCAACTATTACAATACTGAGAAGTAGTATTACTAGTAGTAGTACTGGTATCAGCAGTAATACTAGTACAAATACCAAGAGGGTCAACTCACTCTAACAGCTATCTTGGTGTTGGTCCCCAACAGATACTTAAGTATGATAGGTACATGAATTGGATCCCATTAAAAAGAGGATTCTAGTGATATGGGGTAGTTGGGGGGGGGGCAGTGATATTTATTGATAATTGTGCATGTATATTGAGCATTCAAAATGTACAATTATATTGGCTTTTTTCAATTGCCATGGCTATACAATAGTTTGGTGCAAGGAGGGTGTAAACTCCACTGGTGTGGATGCCCCAAGGGAGGAGCTCCCACACTGCAATCACCAAGTCCAGGGTGCCTTTGAACATGATTGCCACCAACCAGCAGTACCCAAGATCATTGCCTACTWC